TGACGTTCAGTCAAGAATCTGGAAATATATCAAGTTTCTACTAGCACTATGAAATGTTTCAATTTAGCACCTATGCCTGAAAATCTGTATAACTCTGAAGTTATTAGATGCAAGCAACAAGAGTCACTTGTGAATAAGTAAAGTCAGTAACTATATTATCTACCACTTCTGCTAGAAGAATCTCACCAGACTGCTTACCTTGCTCTGGGAACAACAAGATAAGGCTTCATGCATCTTGGGGGAGGTCACACTTGTTATGTTTATGACTGCGCAGACTCCAAGCTAGACCCCTCCTTGCAGCCTGGCTGACAGTTTCCGAAGAGAAGTTCACATAGGATCACTTAAGTTAGTTCTGCCCCCCCTCTCCCGGTCAAATAGTATTTTGTATGCTCATCAATAATTTTCAAATGTATTAAACTTGTTTCTATGATACATCTACCAATATTTTACCTTTTTTTTCCCGGTCCCTCTACACTCAAATTTCTTTATATTTAGCCATAATGTAGTATTCTATATGTTTATTATTATAAATAATTAATAATTCTCCTAAAGACTAGTTTTTTTTTTTAAAGAATTTTCCTTACATCGTTTTATTACTGAATTAATGCAGTTGCTTTTAGGTTGCCTTTTACTGGAATTGAGAATTTTGGTCATTATAATGGTATGCAACACTTTTTTAGTTAGATTGGACATGTATGATCACATTTGTGATCAGACTGCCAATAGTCTCCATATATTATAGAAAACTCCAAAATATTTTCTGCAATTCTAAATTGATGGAGACTATTTCATATGCAATGTATGTATAGTATCTTATGTATTTTTCCCCAACATTTAAACTGCTTAAATGTAATTTTGATCTGAGAAGGCAATTAGAATCAGTGCATTAAGTATGGCTTAATGTGAAAATTATACATATTCAAAGATTTATTTAGAAATTATTTACAATGAAATACTTGCAAAAATTGAATGGTATAGATTTAATATAGACAGAATTAAAAAAAAAAGAACTGGCAACACAACCTGTTGTCATACTGATGTTAGCATCATATTGATGTTAGCATGCTTAAAGAATTATATGCACAACTGCTTTCTCCAGAAATACAATCGCTTAAATTACTTCCAACTTTTCTTCCCATTTCTAGTTTCCATTCATCAAAAGTAAATTACTTTAGCTCTTGATATTACCCGATTTGTATTGTGCATATTCTCTAAATGTATCCCTTCTATTTCTAATCATCTTTATCTAAGGAAGTACTGTATTCTATTTTGTAAAACTTCAATGGCCCTAATGAATAGCTGTCTCAAGATGGATTCTAGAAGAAAGCATGTTACAACTCTGATTTGATTAGTACAGGTAGTCCTTGACTTACAACCAAAATTGAACCAAACATTTCAGTTGCTAAGTGAGACAATTGTTAAGGGAGTTTTGTCCCATTTGATGATTTTTCTTGTCAGTTGTTAAGTAAATTACTGCAGTTGTTAAATTAGTAACCCGGTTAAATGAATCTAGCTTCTCCACTGTCAGGTCACCAAAGGTGATCAGAAGACCCTGGGACACTGCAACTCTCAAAAAGAGTCAATTGCCAAGCATCTGAATTTTGATGTGACTATGGGGATGCTGCAATGGTCGTAAGTGTGAAAAATGGTCATAAATCACTATTTTTAGTGCTATTGTAACTTTGAATGGTCACTAAACAAACTGGTGTAAATCGAGGATTATCTGTATTATATCCATTCCAGGTTTCCATTTTAGCCTACCCAGTGTTTATTTATATTATTACTGGGTAATTTAATAAAAGATATTCCTGAGAATGAAAAACTTTCTATGGAAAAACACAGTATTAGAAATGTATTCAAGATAATTTTCTATTTTTTCAGCTTAATTATTCAACTCAAGTACTAAAAGCTTATTTTTATACAGAGACAAAATAAATATATTGTATTTTCAATACTGTATTTTTCCCTTAGAAAGTTTTTTTGATTTATGGTAATATCTCCAGTTCCCTTTTGTAATAAAATGAATTCATTTCGCAAACAATACTGTACATATCCCTTTTTGAAATAAGAATACTGTATTACATGCAAAGCAAAATTAAGACCAGCAGATTTGAATATATTTGATTTCCAAAACACTTAGGACAGAGGTGGGGAACTAAAGCTCTTTTACGACTTGTGGACTTCAACTCCCAGAATTCCTAAGCCAGCATGGCTCTCTTCTCTAATTCATTTCAAATTTAAAAATGCTCAAGTGGAACAATTTAAACAGCTAAGTTCTCTTTCAAAGATTGTTAGTCCTGCACACTTTCTTCTTTCAGGGAAGGTGACTGAAACTGAACAAAATATTAAATGTGTGGGGGTGGGATGGGGGTGGAAGCTTATTCTATGCTAACCATAAGGCAACTCCATCTTTTGAGTTGGAATTTGAACCTAGTGACATCATACTATGCAATTTGTGACATTTAATTCAATTAATATACCATCTCTTCTTTTTATCTGTTCCTTGCATCAACATGCGGTTTAATATTTGTATAAAGTAGGAAATTAAAAGCAAAACACAGTATTACCTGTCTTAATCCAACAGCCAATTTCTGGACGAAGATATTCCTTTTCATGTTTGGATGCTTATCATCTGGTGCTAAATACTTTTTATAACACTTGAGTTTTATTTTTCCTTTCTAAACTACAAAATGAAGAAGCAATAATGTTCAGAGTTGTAGTTTCTAAGCAAGACTACTATTATTGCACTTAAATTATTCCTGCTTTATATTCATAAGAGGTAATACATAAATAAGAAAAATAAGGAAGAAATAAAACTTGTGACTCCCATGTTGTTTCCCTGACACCATCATAAATTCAGAAAGGAGCCAAATTGGAGGAAAGACATTTGTCACAATAATGCACTGGCAGTAACTCTGGTTAAAATAAGGTGCTTTTATGTAGTCCCAGATTATTCTGATTACATGCCATATTTTCCTGAATAGTTTGTTTATTCTTGAATTGCTCCCCTTCCAAAATCTCTCTCCTTCAGCTTCCAAGTATTCAACTCCTTCCTTTTTTACCACCTCATGATCCGAAAAGCAACAATAGTAGTAGATTGTTCTGTTTTTGACCAATTTGATATTAAACACTAGTCATTTGCTCTCTTATTGTAAAATAGCTGTTCGGCATTTGCTTTGCACAATTTCAAACTGACATGATCAACTATACATCCTGAAAACAGCTGCACTTCCTGTTAAGAGTTGTAAGCAACACAATCTCCTTAAAATCATAATCGCATATCTGTATATCAGGATGCAAATACATTTATTAATACTTGTAATGGATACATCCATGTCCTCTAGGATATCAGTCAGAGTACTAGCTGCTCTCATTTCTTTAACCTATACAGTAATTACATAAGCTTCATATACTATACTTGTTCATCTACATAACCCCAACATTAACATTAGACATAACTTCAATTTCCGGTTGTTTTCCTAATACAAATAGTTTTTGCCCCTCCCCCCCCAAATACCCGTACACCATACATTATACGATTCCTCAATCACCGCACGTCCCCTCCCTTTACCCGATTGGGGAAAAATATGTGGTAGACGAGGATATGGCGAAAGCAGAAGCAGCGGTTTTATTTTATAATAAATAAATAATATAATTCCCTGTGGAATTATATATATATATATATATATATATATATATATATATAATTCCACAGGGCTTCCTATAAACACGCATCCCCTCCTCTACTGCTCTTCGCTCTTTATTTCTGCCATCAGGCAGGCAGGCAGGCAGGCCCCTGCTTAAGTATCCGACTACCACCAGCTATCATTAAACACAGGAGAAACAACCTGCATGCTCCGTGCTATCATCCCCTTCTGTTCTTGTGACGTATTCACAACCCATTTCTTCTGAACTCATCCCCACCCCCCACCCTCCACCCCGCAAACCCTCCATCCACCACACCCTCCTAAAAACAATATTATGGTTATTTTTTTTTTTCTACCAAAGGGGAATCCCGCAATCGAACACGACGGCCCTACCCTGGGACTTCCACTTCACACAAACCTAGCGCTCAAGACTCCGCCCCGTCCACCGCCTCTCCTTCCTCTGCTGGCTCCTCCCTTCTGCCAGGAGTTGCGGGGAAGAGGGCGGGCGAATGGGAAGGAAAACTCGGTGCGAAGTAGTACCCTTCCTCCCCCCCCTCCTCCTCCTCCTCCCCGCCCCCCTCAACTCCAGACACTTCCTAGCAGTTCCTGCGGCCCCGATACGCACGGACGAACCCCACCACCACCACCACCACCAGCAGCAGCAGCAGCAGCCTCTTCCTTCCAAGCAGGGCCGGCGCATCGGCGGTAGAAAAATAAAATAAAATAATAATAAATTTAAAAAAAAGCAGCCGCACCGGCATCTCCCTCTGGGTAATCGAGCTACCTCGACCCACAATCGGAGGCGTTTACTTGACGATCGTTTGGTTTGGTGGTTGTGTTTGCATAGAAGAGGAGGAGAGAGAGAGAGGGAGAGGCAGGCAGGCAGGCAAGGCCGTAGGGTCTCTTCCGAAGGAATGAATGCCTTCTCTGCCCAGAGAGGAAGGGCTCCCTATCTCCCTCTCTCAAGATCTACTTAGGAAAGGAAAAGAAAAAAACACACCACACAACAACAACCGTACTCCCTTCCTTTGGGCCGGACAGGCAGGGAGGAAGGGAGGAAGAGGGCAGCCTTCGACCCAGGGGCATCTCCTCCACCCGTGTATGCTCCCTCCACTCCTCCCCCCCCCACATCCTCGCCCCAACTCGTTCAAGGAAACGCACGGCCCTTGCTCCGCCGCCGCCGCCGCCGCCGCCGCCGCCCTTCATCGGGGAGGGAGACAGAAAAGGCAACATCTCCAGGAAGGAGATCCTTTCCCACCGCACATTAAACAAAGCCTCCCCCCCCACCACCACCACGTCCACCCCACCCCAAGAAAACTTCCAAGGAGCCAAACCAACCGGTCATCTACTCACCTCAAACCGGCCCTTAGTGACCCCGTTCATTTCCCTCCTCATGGCTGAGGCACGGCGGGCGTCAGCTCGGGCGAGACCAAGCCAAGCCGGGCCAGGCCGAGCCAGACCTGGCCCCCCACCTCCTTGGCGCGGCGGCTTCGGTCGCTTGCTTGGCCGTCGTCCTCCCTCTTCGCCGCGGGAGGGGGATGGCGAGAGAGGAGGAGCCGTATTCCTTTCCACCACCACCACCACCCGTCCCTCCCTCCCGAGGCAAGCGGCGGGGACAGGCTCTCGGTGCGCGTGAGGCTGCTGGTCAGCGAGGGTCCCTTCCCGGCAGGCGCGGCTCCGAAAAGGCGAGAAAAAAAAATAAGGAATCTTGGCCTTCCTCAACTACAACTAATTCTTCTACCCAAAACAAAAACACGCCGCACCTGCCAGCAACAGTGCCGCTCATTGGCCGAGGACGGCGCAGACGAAGGAGGGAATATTGGCGGCGCGCGCTCCCGAGGCCTGGCGCGAGCTGCCGTGGGCGCGCGCCTGCTACAGGGAGGAGGGCGGAGGTGTCTGTCTGTCTGTCTTTTTTTTTTTTTTCCCCTTCCTTCTCCTTTCCCTCCTTTGCTTCTGATCTTTGCAGCTGATGCAGCAGAAGCTACTGCCCCATCCGAGTTAGGTGCAGATTTCCTCCCACCCTCTACAGAGTTCAGATATTGGGGATGCTCACCGACTCTTTACGTGCTCGCTAAGTTATTGTACGTGTTTCCTTGGGTGCTTACGTGCATTAGGCATTTTGTCTGTACAGTACTTTTAATATGTACTATATCTCGGTTTCACTCCGCGGAGATGGAAGTGGAAGAGGACTGAAACCCGAGATCTGGCTTTCTGATTAATTGAGTTCTAAATAAAGCCACTAGTTTATTCATGAATATTAATTCACAGATCAATAAAGAATGTAGTACCAATTGGTGATTGAGCACACTAAAATTTTAAATTTTCCCTGGATTGTACATGATCCTAGTGTAAATTTATGGAACCCACATAAAATCACCATTAAAACACAGAGCACAGCTATATGCATACAAGGACCCCTCCCCCCTCCAATAATCATGGTTCTGACTATTGTACTAGAGTGCTACATGAATCAGAGCAGTGATTCCCACGGTTTGCACCGGTTCTATAGAACCAGTAATAAAACCGGCGGGAGGCCCCACCCATCGACCCCACGACACAAAATCTGTGCATGTGCAGAAGAGCATGCACGAGTGAAGCGTGCGCGTGCGCACGGACCCGTTGCGAGCCAGTAGTAAAGGTAAGTAGAACCCACCCCTGAATCAGAGGCATAGGTCAGTTTGCATGGGATTAATATGAAGCCATGTTTTCATTGCAGATTCTCTTTGCTGGCATGCAGTGAGCATTGCAACAATGTATCTGACAATTTAGGATGTTTATGAGTCATTAAACGATCATAAATAGCCATAATTGTTATTTGTATCCTCATGGAAGTACTACCAAATCACAAAACACTTCTATCTACCCATAATGAAATATCACAATAATGGATTCAGCACTTTTTGCACTGCGCCATAGTGCAAAAAGAAATTTCTACATGTGATCCATACCAAACCATAACACTATAGATCACATCTTTCTGCATATACTAAATTCTGACGATCATGGGTTTGACAATTTTTCATATTACTTTACTCAAAAGCACGGATCAAGTTAGTGAACATCTTGACTTCACATTATTTTTAAATGGAAGTCGTTTTAAAAACCAACATCAAATCACAGAGGCCATTGACCTGCATACTATGAGTGATCAGAATTAGAAATCTAATCATTCTTAGCATAGTATAAAAATACGAATTCAAACAAAAATCCTATTGCGTGCATACAGTGAGCCATCAAAATTACAGATTTGACCATTTTGGCACCGTAGTTGTACAAACTAAACTTGCACTAGATAAGAATTAGCAGAATTCAAATGTAGTTTTATTAATTCTTTTTAGCACCAATTTAGTGCTGACCTTAGTTGCCAATAAAGGAGAATATATGTAACTCAGGGTTGAAATGAAAGATCCTTAGTGCTCCCTAAGCTTGGTTGTTTTCTTGCAGACATTTCATTACCCATGAACTAGTCTTTGTATATTGTATGTTACTATCAATTATCTTGATGCTGTTATTTTTTAAGAAATCCATTTTTCCTCATATTACTGTTTGACTAAATTCTGATTTCCGTGTGCTGTTGAGTGCAATGTGCGTTAAAGTTGTGATATTGGCATTATTGGTGGGATACTGTTGATATGATGCATGTAAACATTCAAACAAAATAATTTTCCCTCCGTCTTCCCAAATTGTTTAGAAACTAGTAATATGACATGTTCTAATTAGATCCAGTTTTGAATCTGATGTTCATTTTCAAGTGTATCTAAGAAACAGGCGTCCTTGGGGAAAATCCATCTCTTCCTGCATTTGGAAGGGGGTGGAAAAGACAGCCTTTGATGGCAGCTTGATTACTATTGTTAAAAATATTTCTTAATAGTAGATTGATTTATCTTCCTCCATGATCACAGCTTTTTCTGCCAATTAAGTATCAAACCAGATTTGAGGTTTGGTTATGACATATAAAGCCCTAGGCAACTTTGAACTGGAATACTTGTCAGTTTGCTTTTGCTAATTTAGATCTGGTAAGTGACTTGATATCATTCAGGAAGGCCTTTCTACGTGTATGAAGATTAGTAAAAGCAATCTATTCACAGGTGGGCCTTCTTTGTGGTGATGCTCTGGAATATTCTTACCCTAAAACTAGGATGTTTACTAAAATGCTCTTTTCTGTTTTAACATATTTAGAGAAGACCATCAGTTTGGGCTATTATCTGATTACAAAGAGAAAGCTGTTCTACAGTATAGGGGCCAATACAGAGAAGCACATCATCCTAACCTCAGCCTCCTGATCTTAGAGTAGTGGAAAACTATAAGGATTATTTTTTGTGATATTTATTGGATCTAGTTCAATTCTAGTTGAAAAAAGGAGACCTGAAGGTATATAGAACTTTTTCAACTAAGTTAGTGCTTAAACTCCACCTGAACACCTACTGGCAACCAATGCAAAATCAGCAATGTCGGCATAATGTGTCTGATGTATCTAGTGCTGTTGAATTTTGTATCAGCTGCAGTTTCTGGGTTACTTTAAATGCAACTGCACGTAGAGCACATTGCTAAGTGGTGAGATCAATGGAGTGTTTGTCCTATGTCAAGCCTGAACCTGGACTGTAAAAGGTCTAGATAATCCACTTCCTCTAGGGTGCTTAGTATTTGCACTCTCACTTCATTTTTACATTTTTTTTCCTAAAAAGGGAAGGGTAGGGACAGGACAATTAAAGAATCTAGGAAGGGTCTCTTAAAGAGGCACTACAATATAACGCCATCAGGGTCTCAGAGAAATGAAGTTTAGGCATAGAGATCATCCCAAAGATGCTTTTTTCAAAGACATTTAGGCATAGATCACCTCCCAGATCTAGCTAACCTGACATTCCCATATTTGCAAGGACTGATAAGGCATGGATCCAGACAAATGTGACAGGGGACACATCAACACACTTTATTGACTCTATTGGCTGGATTCACAGGCCAAAAGGAATTCCAAATTAATATAAGGCACTGCCCTAGTCACTAATACGGATTCTGCCCATGAAGAGAAGATATTGGTAAATCTGAATGAATGACTTTGATTGCAGGCATCATTTCTGTCTCAACATTTCCTGGAGCTCCACAATACCCAGGATTAGGTTGTTGAAATATTCACCAAATGGCTAGCAGAATCTTTCTAATTCATAAAACCTTAAAGCAGGTAATTGTAATCAGCCTAATTACCTTGTGAAGGTCTTGGGAGACAATCTTATCTGGACCAGAAACAGATCTGAGTAGATCACTAAATAACTGCTTGAGGGAAGCACATTACTAAATATGGGAACATCTGTATATAGTGGACCTGACATTACCTGGGACAAGCCTAGGTTGCCATATAGGCCATGAAAACTAGCACTTCCTAGCCCCAGAAACTGAAATCATCTGCACCAGTAGTGGGTTGCTACCGGTTCGCCCCGGATCAGGTGAACCAGTGGCTGTGGTGGAAGGCTCTGGCCACCAGCCCAGACATCTGCATCCGCAGAAGCATCGCGCGCAAGTACGCACACATCCACAAGCAAACTGGTAGCGGCAGGATTTGAAACCCACTACTGAACTGCACTAATATCAGCAGGTGAGGTAATCCTAATGCTAATCCTGAGATTAAACCCAGGGCCTCAGAAAGGGATTTTCCTGTGTCCCTCCCACTCCTCCTGTTGAAATTGATGACAAGGGCCTGAAAGTTGGGAAGACAGATTTTTGTAAAACTGATATTAACACTCTCATGAAACCAAGATTCAGTATTATGATAGGTGAGACTGTGCATCTTCTACCAGATCAATTATAAGTGGACATAATAATATACCATCATCAATTTTAGGCTGAGGTCATTAGCCACTGGAGAGGAATGGGACTGCTCTGCAGGAAATAGCAAAAAGATAGCTGTATCCTGCCTGTAGTTAGGGTTTCTTAATAAACATGTGCCACTTTTCCCACTATCATTGTGTTGCCATGATTCTGAGACTAACAAATTCTACTCATTCCACTGATAATCTGTGGAAGACAGAAATCTAGCAGTGCCATTCACATTGGTTCTTCTGCAATTTTTTTTACTGTTACACAACCCTATAAAATCCTAGGAAGTCTTTATATCATAGCACCTTCCTACAATGCTCTAGGTTAGGAAGTCCTGTCTTCTTAATCAATCACTCTGGTGAGGTTCCTACTTTAAATATAGCCACTGCTCCCGGAAGTCCAGCTCTGCAAATGATGTAAGTCCTAATTACTTCCCAGACTGGCTCTATTACTGCTTCTCATACAAGTGAAATGAATAGTAATGGCTATTGCTGTGTTGTAGATTATGCCTGTAAATCCCTCTGGCCTAAAAACAGTCCAGAAAATGGCCTGAAAATGGCCAAAAAACAGGCATGTGTGCGCCGGCTAGCTGGTCTTCGGGTTTTTGGTGCTGCAGCCTGCGCGAAGAACATCTGGCCGGCGCACATGTGTGTGCCGGAAACCCAAAGACCAGCTGGCTGGCATGCACACATGCACATACATTCCAGTTTGGGCACTTGGTGCCAAAAAGGTTCACCATCACTACCCTAAACTAATATTGCAGTTCATAATGTGAATTTATCAGTCTCATTTATAGTAAGTTAATTAAGGCAGAGTCTCTTTGAAACACCTTTTTCCATCCTTCTCTGAGTTTCATTTTCTGAAATTAGCATTCAACTGAATCTCCCCTGGCTTTCCCATAATCTGCCATATCCTGCAGTATAAAGCAAATCCTTGAAGGAATCTTATAGCCTCCATTACACAGGTAAATATTCTATAA